TATACGAACGCTAAATTTCTCTTGATTTTTATGCTTGTACTCGGGGAATGGAGTAAGTGCATGACGTGCTCCAATGAGTTTTTTTTTGTGTAATCGTTATTCTCTCAATATTCATTCAAAAACATCAACACCAATTTTTTTTTTTACTCGAGTCATGATGAAAATGCAAATCATAAGTGCTCCCCTCCTATTCATTCCACCATCATAAGAACGTATGGTTCGCAGTTTTCAGGTTTGAAATCCAAGTCATGTAACCAATTTGATTTTTGAAAAAAAAAATCCAAAATAAAATCACCGAATTCGAAATTGATTCGTTGTTGTCTAAATCAATTGAGTTTTATTGCCTCAACCGGATTGATTTGAAAGCTAATTCTATGCATAAGTTTTCTATAATGATGATTTTGAATAGGATCAATAGAGGGTAGAATGCTAATCAACTGAACTAATTGACACCCACTAATTGTCGCATTTACATTAGTTGCTCAATCCGTGTATCCTTATAAGTACAAACGAAAGTAATGATTTTAGTAAACATTTCCCTTTCAAATTTCTATAATTGATCGCATTTGAATGAAATGTTCATATTTTTGATATTGTTGACATATATTGAGTGATGAAACTGTACAATAATTGAAGATTTTTGTATTAATGAATTTGGGCTTTTGATGTAGCTATCTTACATTTTACGTTAGAATTCAGTTTTCGGAACCTCATTTGCTTTTGACAATAAATAATCGCTTAGGTAGCTTATCGTATAAAAAAGACTTTCACCAGAACATCGACCGTTATTCAGGCAAAACCTTAACGAAATTCATAAAAATAGAGGAAAATGCGACTTAATTCGCCTTTTTTAGCTTTTTGATTATATAATAACGTATATGTACGGAAAATATGCGAAATGAAACGCAATTCAATTTAATAACTAGTATTATTTTATTCAATAAAATAGCACTTTCTGCGCCATAGTCAGGATTATTTAGCGAAAGTTGTCTCACAAAAATCTAATTAAATTCGCTTTCGCGATAGTAGCTAGTCGCAACTGTGGCTAAATTCATTCATTTGGTTGCCTTGGCATGCTTTTATTAAAGTATGCAATGTACACCATACATTCACAATTTGTGACTACTTATTCTCATGGGAAGTCAAATATAGGATTATTTACGGTCATGCATGTCATAAGGTTCCCGACTATCAGTCATATGTGAATCAAATGTGTCAGTTCGTTATAAATGAAACTGAAAAGTATTTACGCTGGAATTTGCAATGAATTTTTTCATTTCCCACAAATTTGACTTTGCCGGAAAGCTTTAAACGACTTAGTCCATATTTAGCTGTAGTGGAGCAATGGCCAATCAGTATGGCACATCAGCTATGGTCGTGTATATGTATTTTGGCATAAGTTTAATAATATTTTATTTAGACGTCGGGGCTTTGCTCCCAACAAAATGATAAATGATGAGTGCCAAGACACACATACACACATAAATAAACAAAACCATTTAAATCGCTTCCAAAGGCTACGACTATGTATTTATATAGTTGTTCCAAGCTTGGGAAAGTTGTTTCTAATTTCATCATTTTTGTGGTGCTAAGCAGAGACGTAGTATTTCATTTTGCTACATTTAGTTTTGCCATGTGGCCACCATGATGAAATATAAGGGTTTTCTTGGCAAAGGATTTGGAAATTTCCAAATTTTTACGTAACCATTCCGATACCGACACGCAATATGGATGAGCGCATTCAATCAAAACAAGATTTATTCTTCTAATGGAAGCAGACATCTATCGATTGGCACCGAAATATTTAGATTTTAAATAAATTGATAGTCGTAAATATTTTAGATCGGTCTATCTGAAATCTAAATAACTGTATAAAACGTTCTGATTCACTTTTCATTTTGGTATCCCTTTGTTAGCTAGTTAGCCTTGGATTGGTTTCCAGTTTTGTCTGACGCTTCGGTTCGTATAGATTGCATATCCGAAGATAAATGATTCGCTTTTGGGTGATGATTGAAATTAATGTTTTCGGAAAGAATACTTTTCTTTCCCATTTTTTACATTCTCTTTCGTTTTTCATTCACAATCATTCCGTGGTTTTACGCACTTTTCCCCCTTTCTAACAAATTTATTCTACAAGAAATGACTAATAGCTTTACGCATTCACCTTTATCTTATTACATCGGAAATGTGAATACATTTTTATATTCCATCCCAAAATATTCTGTACAAATTTTCTTTTTCTCGTTGGAGAAATAATTTCTTGTCTTTATTTCATAAATAAGATATTTATATTTTCAAGCAAAATATCGATACTACTTGTTCGTGGCATGCATTACGAGATGGGCTGCCTTTTATTTCAATGTTAGTCGATTTCTGATACGGCCAAAATAGGCAACGCTATGTATTTCGCCCACATTTATTATCCATTTTATCATGTTATTCAAACGCAATTTCATTAGAATTTTTTTTATATATAATTTGAATTTAAAAGACCTCTAAGAATTCTTTTTTCGGAGGCTGTATCGCTTGGTTCTGGCATATTCTCGGGAGCGGCCCGAAATTTGACAAAAATCGATACATTTTCGATGAATGCTTGCTTGTCGTTAGGGGGAGAATCATTTTGGCGGAAAAAGTTGCGTCAATCTGATCATTTGCGTTGAGATAGCTGTGGTATAAGCTAGTCTCACACTTATTTTTATTTTTCTTGGAACAATTTTTTAGCTTCTGTGAATTCATCATTTTTCTTTCATTTCATTGATCAAGTTCTCAATGTAATCCGTTTAATTCCCGTCGCGCCGTTCATTATTTATTAGCATTCTTTTTATAGTCAATTATTATTATTAGTTCCTGGATTATCAGCGCGAGAATAGCAGCGCTCTTAATTGCACAAACTATTCGGGGTAATATCAATTATAGCTGTAATTCGAATGTTTTAGATTGATTTATGTATACATTAGTCTGTGTGAACCCGAACGATGGATTTGAATTATGGCTGTGTAACACCGAGTTCGATATGTTGTTGTTGTCGACCACACCTGTCATAATCAGGTGGTACAAATGGCACAAACAAAAAGCCTACTCACACCAAACATCACATTATTCACGAGTCCACAGGCAGAGTCAAATTCAGCAGCGACGTCACTGGCAAAAGGTTAAATTACGTTCATTTTTTTTCCAGAGCAAATGTGTCGTGCTCTTCACTGTGTTCATTAGATTGTTTGAATCATCAACGTTTCATCTGATTTATATCGAATCGCATTATTTTAATAATATCGTTATCAGAGTTCAGAGCGTTCATAAATTTTCGACGAGCAAACGTACAAAGGGCCATCGAACAAGCAGCAACAATACACATAAAACGTGTGACGCACACAAATAAAATCGCCGAAAACCAAATAGATGAAGCAGAAAGAGAGGGAGACGGAGAGGGCAGGCTAAACGCTTAACCTTAAATCGTTCAGTGTTTGAAAATGATAAGTAAACAATAATGGGCACCTGGATTTGAAACGGGCACAAGGAAACCAAATATAAATTGGACACGCACACTATATAGAGAAAGAACGATATGTATACATATATAGATATACGATATCTAAATATAGAGATATAAATAATTATAGCAGTTCACTATAAATGGCTTATGGCTGGTCCGCGCTTCATAAAATCATTTGAAAATAAAGCGGCTATACCTATGCCGAAACGCAACCAACGACTGTTTTAAGTGAATCCAAACATTCTCCTCTCCAATATCTTAACGAGCACAAGCACGGCTCCAATAGAGATCGATTATCTTGACAATAAAGATTGAATAGATAATTCACACACATTTATATGCAGGGGATAATAAATTATTGTAAACTTCGTTGCTCTCCTCAATGCTGGCCCACCATCCGTTACACACACACAGCCTCAGACCGAATAGTAAGAACAGTACAATACAATACACAGGCCGGTCCGTATGTATAAAATGATCAGACCGAATGGGCCGTTCAGCTACCACATTGTCTAAATCTTATACATGCGAAAAATAAACTCGAGACTTCAACATTTTCACTAGCTTAATGTCACATTATAATTTAATCAACTCCATCGACATCGACACACATGAATTTCCAGTGGAGACAGTTTGCCTTCTTCATACTCTGAATTTTTCTATCATCGTATTCAGTAGTCCAACCACTGAATACCAGCACCAAATATCAAATTCAAACATACGTTATGCGGCAACTGGATAACCAAGCAAACGCATACATTCACACACACATAATACATATTTTATTTATTGAGATCAAGAGATAATGAGAGTTATTTGTTTTGTCTTCGGCAAAATTTCTCCTTATTTTTTTGTCTCTCATTTTCTTTTTCTTGGTTTTCACATATTCTATTGTACGAGCAATGGCCATGTTTGGTGAAGGGAAGCAAGCGAAAAATGATAGAAGCGGGAAGAACAACAACCATATAAAATATAAATTGACTAACGAATGGGAAAATAGCTCGTTGGTCAAATTATCATAGCTTGGTTGAACTAACAGCACTTATTCTTTTGCACTTCGCTCAATATTCTGTCCAACTTATTTCATTTGTCACAATTTTGTTAACTCAATAAATATTATTTGGATGTTGTTTCTTCGTTCCGCGTTCCGTTAGATTTTCTCTAGTTGTTATCTATCTTTCGGCATACATGTATTTTCCTTATCAAATACATTCGACTATTTACACTGTTGATTGTCAGCCAAGAACCTGTGAATTTGCCTTAAATCAGTCATTTGTATTCTAATCGATATTATAGTAGGGAGTGATGTCTGATGTGTGTGGCACGATCTAAATTTGATACCAAACAAAGGCGAAAAATAACCATAAAATTCACATATGTGCCCAACGGAATGGCGAACATCGAACATTAGCAAACATATCGATAAATCAATTTGCCATGAAATAGTCTACACCGAAGCGTCGTAATAGAAATAAAGTAGAAGGAATGAAGAAGAAAAAAAACTTACCGAAAATCCTTCCTGCATGACAGTGTGTCACGAACAGTAATCCATAAATGAGGAGTCTGAGATTATTGCACACTATGAAAATTTGCATTTTTATTAAAAACGTTATATTCCATCTATGTAAAACATTGCATCACATGAGGGCTTCCATGCCTTTTTTTAAGTTATTTGCAAAATTCACAATTTTTGCGGCCGTTTTGTTTCTCTTTCTTCTTTACCTTTTCTCTTTCAATTGCTATATTCCTTTTTCTTTAACGGTAACTTGAACAATTGATTTGAGAATGGTGTGGTTCGTAAAACGTAGTTTTTTTTTATCCCAACAAACGATTTTTTTCATTCAATTTTCAACTTTCTTCGAGGTGGTGAAGGCTTTACTTGTTTATGACCTCTTCCATATAACTTTGCACTTCAATTAATTTCCGTTTTGCTTTTTATCTTTTCAATTTTAGCTGGCGTCCCAATTCAATTTTTTTTTTTACATATTATTTGATAAAAACGTACCCATTAATTTACAATTATCACCTAACTCGCGCAATATTCAGTACAATCTAAAACAAATTTAAGCAGCTTAGTCATTTAACTGGAGGCATTTGCCATTTGCATATTATTAACAAATAAAGAAAACCTTGAGTTTTAGCTTCTTTTATTTGAACAAATTTTTTTTTTTTTTCTGTTATACTGTGTGTGTGAATTGCTTTAATGTTTTTCCGCTCTCTTTCTCGTTGTGTTCGATGGTGTTTTTATTCGGTATTTTTTTCTTCTTTTTTTTCTTCACAGTTTAATTATTATTTTATTCTAATATCATCAGCAAAAACAGCTTCATTTTCCATTTGGCAGCAGCACTCTGTTGTTTTGCGACGGCTTTGTGTGTTCGGGACGTAGGTCAATTTAGATTTCCAAAAGTGTTTCGTTCAGGAGCATTAAGTTGGAGATGTGCACATGCTCATCATCACTGCTGCATCTGGATTAATGCCAAATGTCAGTTTGTTTGTTCGGTATGTTTTATATTCATTGATGTGATAAATATGGATGCGTTTTATAAACGTATTTGCATAAATATCGTAAACCATCGAAATTTTAACATAGTTCTAATTGTAACATAGTCTCAAAATAAACCACTTTTCTAAGAAAATGCAAATAAGTCATTTATTCATATCGGAAGATTTTTTCGTGTTCTTCTTAAATATGATATAAAAAACAACAGTAACCCTTCAAAGTTTTGCAGAAAATTAGTCTATTTTTTCAATTGTTACAATTTGGACTATGTTACAATTTGGATGGTTAACGATATATTAAAAATTGTGAATGCAACAAGACAATGAGTTGAGTAAAAATGCATCCACAGATGCACAATGCAATGGAATGCGTTTCAAAGGAGTAGTGAATGAGAGCATCACAGCACGTGAGATGGACTTTTTTCTGTCATTACTCTGAGAATTATAACAACGATAATTGTTTTATTGCGTGAACTTTTTACGTGATTTCCAAAAAGAAAAAACAATGCCAATCATTTTGGACTGGAATTTATGAGTATAACAAAGGACAAACAAATTGTTGTTCATTGTTGCAACTTGTCCCTTCATTTGTTTGTTCAATTTCATAGTATTCCTTGTTTCTGTGAATCATTGCATTGAATGATGATAGAAAACAATGAATTTCCTCATATTTTGTTGTTTGAAGCAGTCTGTTCAGCAATTCATTCAGAAGAACACCATCGGTGTTGAAGCTCTATGGTGCTTATGGTGCTTGAATGATTGCATTTATTCAAAAAGTGACATCAAACTCACTTTTGTTATGTAAGTGGAAATGGGAGTACGTGAGTGGCGCATGGGCGAATAGCTTTATCAACCGAGCTCATGTAATTTGATTTGGTGTGAGGTGTTGACACAAAATATCTGTATGTTTACAAAATGGATATGAATTTGTGTGGATTTTTACATTTATATGTGTTTATCTATCTTTTACCACCTTGGCCGTTGTTGGAAATGCAATTGTTTATGGCGTCTGAACGCAATCATTTCTTCCATTTTTATATAATGTGTATCGGATGAGTATTTTTACGTTCTTTGTATTTACTTTTGAAAACTTGCGATTTTAAGTAAGTAGTTTGTTGAAATGAACGAGAAAAAAACCATTCTAAAATTCACTTTGACATTCGATTCAAATCCTATTTTCATGACGAACTAATGATGTGGTTGGAACCAATGTGAGACTCATTATAAGCGATCACATAGTTTTCTTTTCGAGATTGTCATTTTTCTGCGCGTTTTTTTTTTTCATACATTTTCTCTTTCTCTCTTTCTTTATCATATGATGTATATATGTTACCAGTGATTCAGAGCCAAGATCAATACACAGTATGTAGTATGGTGTTGCTGCTGATGGTGGTGCGGTTGGAATGGTTGTCGTAGCAATTCAACAAAACCACTTAGTTTCTCACAATGTCTTACTATTTTAAATTTACGTAGTTTCGCTTGTGTTCAACAGTCTCGTTCACATGCCGATAGTGCATACAGTGTTTTTGTGTTCGGATTTGCTTATTTCCTTCCGTCTCGTGCATTCGAACGCGAGTGTAAATTTTTTTTTTTTTTGACTTCACAAGTCGAATACTGAGCACACTTCTTGCATACTTCACATGGCCCGAATGTTTCGTACATATGCTAGATACGGCATTATTAATGACATAACATTGCATTATAAAAAATGCAAGTAAAATATTTTTTTAGAAGATTCACTGGAAAAGATGGCAAACGGATCTAATACTCCAAAAATACGCATTGATAAACTGTAAACCGTGAGCAAAAAGAAAAGTAGTGTAAAAAAGCAATTGTATGCTTAAATAATGGAATAATCGTCTGTACCGAATTCTATTTCTTCTGGCATTTGGCTATATTTTTTGGCTTTGTCCTTCTGCTTACCATCTACTTATTTGTGGAATCGCGTGCTGCAATTCAATGCTACTAGAGAAGAAGAATAGAGCAAGACTCAAAGTAGCAAAGCAGGCCACCCCGGGATACTGATAAATTAATAACACAATGGTATTGCACAGCATAACGTCTAGTTGTGTGTTAGCATGTTCGGTGTATGTTGGAGCGGTTTGCTCACGTAGTTTGTGTATGTTTGAAGTGGAGTGTGTTAATTTGACACATTCATTTCTTTTAATCTCAATCGCATCCCAGAACATTGGTATGTAATGGTTTGACACTTGGCCTCATAATGATGAATTTTCAACAATGCAGCTCAAATTTGGTGCTCTTATTTGGAGAGCTTTATACAAGTATGCAAAGCATTCGCAACGATCTGATTGGATTGAAGTGAATTCCAAGCGGTCCATCAAATTAATATCTGTTGACAGACTTGTGTGGGATGCAGCAGGAAAATGGGTCAAGTTAGATATCACAGACAGCTTCATCGTTCCGAATGATTCATTTGTATCGATTTTGTAGTGTGGCATCAAGTTGTTCAATGGAAGGTTTGCCGGAGTTTCCGTTCCTGCAACTGAGGCACAGGTTTCACATAAACTTGAAGTGGCAAAAATGTTATTTGGCAATATTATCAATTTTGAAATTTCATCATGGAATCCGGTTGAGTCGCCTCCATCTTTGTCATTTTTTTTTTTATTCACGTCTGTGCACATTCAGAATGAGATTCCACTTGGGAGGAACAATCAAAATGAAATTTTGCCAGAACATCGCACGTAAGTTCATTACGTTGCCTGAATTATAAGTGTCGGTTGGAATTCGAGTTCACATTTATCGAAAATAGAGTCGATGCTCATTGCTCATAAAACAGAATGCTCAATGTGCCAATTGATATCTTTGAAATGAGAACGTGCATGTGAGACCAGTTTTATATGAATGCAGCAGAGTAAATCAAACAGAATTATAAATTCACACTGTTCAAGCAACAGAGAAAAAAAAGATTGAGAATACGGCACTGAAATGGCAAACTAACAGCGAAAACACAATATCGATTGAAATGTTCAACAAAAGAACTTTACCAACTGACGACTATTACGATCGGATATTCCACATAAATGCACAAATATACACGTTCTGTTCCGTTGTGTCTTCGACATTACGTAACTGAAATTTAAAATAGCATGAGCATGCAAGAAGCGCGCGCTCAAAACTCGATTTCAAAAGTTTTATTTTCAATTTGATGCATTCATCGCGTTGCCGTTTAGTTCAACACCAATTTTGTTGCGGTTGCACCAGCCGTAAGAAAGTAACGCCACAAGATTTGATCGGTAAATGTATAAATGAAAGAATCGTAGTGCATTCATCTGAATTGAATGTGGTTGGTCGATGAAAAGACAGAAGAATGGTTTTTTTTTTCTTCCAAAATTCATGTAAACTACTTTACAGTAAATGTGGCGCCTGATAAAAAAGCACACGTATTGGAGCAGTCACTGGCATGCATCGACACTTTGACCATTTTAATGGTTGATGTGCGATGCATCATTTATTACCTAGTGACTAGAGCCATCTACGAAAATTCTATACCGATTCCACTCACGAGTTAGTTCCAAATTTTGGACCAGTGTGTCCAAAAAAAAACTCTCTTTTTTCTTTATCATTTCAAATACACCAACACGCACTTATTTGCACATTTTCTGTTGTCTCGTTGCGTTGTCCATTCCAAAATAAATTTTGTGATAGAAGTGTAAGTGGGGAAAAATGGGCAAAACAACAAAGAAATTCAACTGCACTCACTATATGCGCTTCGGTTTTCATATTTAACAATGAAATAAATAAACAAACAAACAAACCAATTCAAAAGCGTCGATTCAATAGTTTGCATAGAACCGGAGTTGCCGTTTCCGACGATGACGACGACGACGTCGACGACGACCTTCGATGTACGTAGTATTTGCGAAATGTTTTCACTCGATTGTAGAGCAACTACATCGTTTAAGATTTGTTTATTATTGTGAATGATTTGTTCGTTTTTATTGAAAACACCAAAATCGAATTAATGTAGCTTAATATTTGCTCGATGATGATGACGATGTCGCTCGAGCTGGTCGCGACTATATTCGATGAATTTATTTCGATGAGCTTACTTTGTGTTGTATTGAATGTACGAGTAGCAAGTCAAAACGTTCAACGGTTTCTCAATTGAAACAAGCAACGAGTGTACCACGCTGACTGTAGAATGGTTTACACGGAACTAAATCGGTCTGAATGTTTCCTGGATCAGCCTAGCACATCATTTTCCAAGTAAATTGCTTCTCGTGCCGTCGGACCTGCTGTCGTTGTTGTAGTCTTGCTCTTGGTTTGTATGTGTGTGCGGTATGCATATCTATCCACTAAAACCTACATTTGGAAAACATCCCTCCCTTGATTTTTCGTATCGCATTTGTTGCTTCAATCCACTGAGCGGTGAACGAAACATCGACGTTGTGTACACCGTATACGTTCTAAATGCGTCTCGCGCATGTGCTCATCACAATCACATTCACAATCACAGTCACACACTCATTCATTCACTCAATGCATTCGAAGCATTTCAAGAAAGCAAGAACTGAAGGGGCAATTTATTTCGTCAAATACCAACGTCACGTGATAAGGTTTGATATAGCTATATAGACGATAAGTAATAGCCGGTCCAAGTACTTACAAAATAATAACAATAACACAAAATAATGATAGTGATGGAAAAAAATAATACTAAAAACAAAAACCAACGAATGCGCTTATACGATTGAAAAACACTCAGTCAAAATTAAATCTGATTTTCCAAGCAAGCCAAAACAATTGAGCTCTTCTTCTCGGAGCGCTTTGCGATTTACTTAAACAAATAAACAAAAACAGTGCAGCGATCCACATTATCATTGAAATTCAGAATTCATAAAAACATTTACTGTATCAAACTATGTACCGAGCAACGAATCAATGAATCGATCGATGCTTATGACTTAAAATAAATGATTCGCATCGCATTGTAGTCTTTATGTCTGTGCGATACCTGGGCCAAACAAATAAATGAGATCGCTTATGGCATCGCGCAAAATAATGCGGACGATATATTCAGATTTTTCAGGTAAGATTATAATCTATCGCACCAATTCAATAATGCTTTTAAAATTGCTCTTTGATTTTGTCTGAATCGTTTTTCCCCAAACTGTACGGGATATTTATTTGCAATTTGATGTTTTTCTGTGCCATAGAAAATGGATCTTTTTTTTTTTAATTTTATTTACTACAATCCCGGATTTCGTTCCGCAATACTTTTTACTTCGATTTCTAATTGCGTCTTTCGTTGTCTTATTCGCAAATCGCGTATGAAAAAAAAACACGTAAGAATTAAACTCCTACACTAAACGGAAGATAAAAAATGTTATCGATTGCTACGAAGAAACAAAAAACAGGGCTAGGAGTAAAAAAAACGAAAATAAAATTAACAAAACACAAATTGAAGGGAATGGAGAAATATGGCGAAAGAAGAGAGACACTTGTGTGGCATTCAACGTTCAGTATACATGGTGTGCAAGAAGTGTGTGCAATACACTCAACATTATGCGAAAGAACACTAATAACATCTTCGAAATCGGAGGAAAACAACGGCAACCAAAAAACAAAACACAAAATTAACCAGCAACAATAACATAAGCGCACAACAGCACTAACTCGTCAAAGGCAAGCAAGCGCGGAACGTATAACCACGCACAACAGACGCCGGCCCAAAGACAGAGATGAAGATGGAACGAAAGAGAACCCAAGAAAATGCAGTGCTTCTAAATTTTAAAACTTATGTTTTCGCATTTAAGCTATTTTAAATTACTCGGAAAGTATTAAAAACTTTTTACTTGTGTAATACGAACGAATAACATGAAGGCAGAGTAGTTTATGGCTGGTATAATGTGTATACGTTTGTCTGGATGTATTCATATATACAGATTTACATATTTTATATGTTATCAACATATTATTGCCCGAAATATTTATTATTATGTTATGTTGGGATTTTCTTTTTCTTAATAAAGTATGACATAATAATAACACATTATCTTAATAAAAACCAAAAAAAAAAAAATCGAAAAAAATTTTCATGTAAAAAATATGTCAATTTTTGTCAGACGAAAAAGTGTTGAAAAAAAACCTTTGAAGTGAAACTTTTTTTTGCGATTTTTTTGGTCGTTATTAAGATAATATGCCGATATCTTAATAACATACCAGTCGTTATTATTATGTTATTAAGTATAGTTAATAATATGTTATTGCCCGTAAATCTGTATGTCCCGTTCGCAGGCGAAAGGATAGAGACATGAGTATTAATTCATTAGAAAAACTCTGTATGTATGCCGTTTTCAGCTATCCGCACTTCAAACGTGAGCAGAGCATATAAAAAGATGTGACAAATTTTGCATTTCTCGTTTCTTTTGTTTTGGAAAAAAATTCGCTAAAAATTGCAATTTATCTCAAGTTGTTCAGCCAAAGACTCACTGTACATGAATACCACTCTTCATTAGCAATTATGGCAGTCGTACCCGCCAGCACTCATTCGATCGCTTTGATTCAGAGTTTTGCAAACTATCCTTGCTCATCTTGCAGGTAAAGCTAAATCAAAAAAAAAAAAAACGTAGAAAACTTACTTTATTTTCATTTGTTATGTGGTGATGTTTTTTCTTTCATCCAAACACGCATACATGCGCTCACCCACATACATACATACATACAAGCGCGAAATATGAATAAAATGCGACCAGACTCTATACTCATATACCAATGAAAAAAGGAACGCTTCGTCTTAGTTTTTTAGTTTTTGTTATCTATTCGCATATTTAAGACGGTTTTTGCTTTTCTCAGTTGTTCTTCTTCACTTACATGATAGAGTTCCGTGTTTTATTTTCAAACTTTGCGAAATGCAATGCTGTTGGTTTCAGGATTTCTCAGCGCATACCACCTGATTCCAATTGAAGTGTGAAAGAGAGAGAGAGAGAGAAAATGAGATAAATTGTTTTCATTCACCGCATGAAAACTGGATAAAGATCCTATCTGTTGGTATGTGAGTATCGTTCGCAACAACAGAATGTGTGGTTTTATTGCACTATTTATACGCTCTGAACAGAGGTCCGAGGCACCAAATTATGTCCATACCGAGCTCTTGATTGGAATTCTTCCCACAAAATTTATTTTTCTATTTAAAAAGTGAGATTTTTTTTATATTTTCGGATTTTGAAGGAAAATTTCCTACTAAGGCTCCTCAGACATTTTGAATGTTGACCCTACTTCAGAACCTGTATGCATTAAACGTACAATGTATGCCCTACACTGACTCAGCTCCATGTGCGCTTCATACAACGTATGTGCAAATGCATTCATACCCTTGTTCGTATTCTGGCTCTCGTAGTTTTGCAATTGTGAAGAAAAATGAAAGCTACGATTCCGCATATAGAATATGGAATGTATACGTACACCAAAAATACAAATTGAAACAAATGTTTGTTATGACGAATGCTATGACCAAAATTTCATGTGATGCAAGAAGCCATACAACGCATTGAGAGCAAACGCAAACACCAACTAAAAAGTAGCGAATACAAAAACAATGGAAATATATTTGTCTGTATATTTTGATATTTTTGTTTGTTTTCCAACACAAAAATCTATGAGCAGAAAAATAATGCATACATATACCAAGAAATACTGGGAAAACGAGTAATGTACATATTCCGCATCGCATCGCGAAAAAAACATTGAATTAATTTCAAAATCTCTTACGAGGCACGAGGAAATTTCCAATAAAATACACGAAAATATTGACGATAAAAATCACAGAAAATATTGACCATTTTAATTGAATTTAGTATTGTATACATGAATTTGGCATTGTTTCCAAAACGTGACACTGTCACGTCCCTTATATTTGTTCCCAATTTTAGCGATTTTTTTTTTCCTTCTGTACGCTTTTATTCGCAGAGGCTTCTCATGGAACTCTCGCACGAGGACAAAAAAAAAATCACGGAATTTCCATTCAATTAAGACTGTTCGAAAGACAAACAAAAGTTTCAACCGAAATTCGGCGTTCTCTTGTTAATTTAGGAATGAAAATCAATCAACTTTGTGCTTGCAATTTGCTTGATGGACTCTTCCTGTGCAAAATGAAAGTATTCCATGAAAATAAGACAACTCAATATTTTCTCTATTGTTCTAAAAATGATCAGATTGCGTTGAAACAAGTAAACCTGACCAATCAGGTCTGTGCAGTTGTATGTATTGAACGAGTTGCTGTGTGCAAAATTTACAATACATACAACTGCACAGGCTTGGTGACCAGTGCGTGTCTATGTATTGACACGTATATGAATAGTAGCCACTTGAGCGTTCGCATAAGCAATACCACATTTTTCCCTAAAATTAGTGTAAATTCATCCAAAAACAGTTGAAACCGCTATTTCGCACAGTATCTAGATTACTCATTCCCCTCCGAAAACTTACAGTGTAGTAGTATGATCATGAAAATAGTAAACAATACAGCGCCGCCTGGGGACTAAGTGCAATGTGTCATTTTTTCAACGTTTGAACTAACACAGACGCACTAACACAGATGCATACTTGTTATAGCAAACAATATGCATAATTCTCTATTTTCTATTTTCTATTCCAACCAGTCTCCAGGTGCCGCTTTATTTTTCTTGTTTGACGTTTCCTATCTGTTTATACAGACGATCAGAGAGGTTGGTACAAATGTATGTGAGTATTTGTCTCTCTCGTGGCCTAATTGAAATTAAATTCAAAGTAAGTAAACTTTAGTTGACCATAAATTATAAAATTTGTCCATTATCGATATTTTGCGACGGTCCATTATTGTTAAGTAAATGTCAATGACGGTAGGAATCCTTATTGGATGTTTCAAAGATGTCTTTTGATTTAAGTTCACCAAATGGCTTAAAATAACTTATTTACCAGAGGAAAATGGACCAAATACAATTTTTATCCAAATTGCAGTGCAACTGGACTTGATCGATACATTAGATGAATATTAAAATCTTGGAAAATTTGACGAAATGACTGCGGGTAGGGCGATTTCAATTGTAGATTTTATGTAGTTTAATGTAGTGTTTTTACTTTTTTTTTATGTAGGAACAATTTTTTTGAGTAATCGGCTATCGAAAAACTGCTATAAAATGGAACAACTCAAATCTTGGTCAAAAAACGTATTTTCCACA